TAGAAATTATATCACTTAATATAGAGAGAGCAAATGGAATCAAAGAATTTAGTATCACTGGAATCAATTCATTAATAATAAATAAAACAACAATTAAACAATATTCTGCATCTCTATTTTAAGGATTACATCTATATATAGATTGTTTAAAACTTTAACATTATGGTACTTCTGTTTATATATATGATACTAAAAACATAGAATTTAAATCATTAACTATTTCTACTGCAGAATCAATTGATTATCCCATTATTAATATTTAAACCTCAATATCTAAAACAACCAATAATAATTCTATAAAATTATCTGATTTAAATCTTATGAATAATCTACTCTTAATTACTAATTAAATGAAATAAATTTCACTCATTTAATTAACAACATAATAAGAATTTAATATTCAAATTATAGACTCCATATTTAAAAAGAATATTATGCATTAATATAGATAAAATGATCTAATAAACTCTGGATTATTATTAAATTTTGATTGTCCTTATTGTACAATTAATATCAAAAATGTAATAGCTGAATCAAATTTAGTTACAAATACCACAGATAACATAATTTATATAAAATCAAAGAAAATTACAATTAAGAATTCTAATTTCATTTCTAATTGTATATTTGATTATAGCATTTTATAACCTTATTTAATATGGGGATATAATAATGGTGAAGAAGTATTTCTAGAATAAATAATGGAAATTTTTCCAATTTTTGTTACAACTGGAAATGCAAAATTGATTAGTTCAGATTTAGAAATTGAAAATGTTCTAATATCAAATTCATCTGGTTCTGGATTATATATAAGAATGGAGAATGATGCCAAATTACTGATTGTCAATTCAGTTTTCAGTTTTATTAGTACTCATTTTTTATCAGAAACTGAAAATGGAGGTGCTATATATTTAGATACTTCCAATTCAGTTTCAACTACAATAACAATTGCTAATATAAAAGCAAATAATATCTATTGTAGTAATAAAGGAGGATTTATATATCTTTTAAATGGATTAAGTACTATTTAGATTACATTACTTAATACTTAATTTAAAGATGTATTTGCTCTATTTGGATCCATTATATTTTCAGAATTCTCTCCTCTTACATCTTAATCATAGAATTTAAGATTAACTACTTCTAAAATTTCTAATAGTTTAGAAGGTTAATTACAATTTATCAATAAGTTTAATATGGCAAGTGAATCTTAAATAATAGCTTTACATTATTAAAGATTTTAGATTTAAATTTATAATGCCAAAACATTTTAAATGGAGAATGTAATCATTTCAGATATTAATTTTGAATCATTTTTATATTTATAAAATACAACAGCTGTTTAGATTTAATCTGTATTAATATCAAGATCACATTTCTTTAATAGAATTATAATCTTAAATGATATGAAGGAGAATTCTATGATTTTCATTAATAACATTTAAATTGAAAATATAACAATACTAGATAAAATTGGAATAGAATAAAATTGTTTAAAAATAACAAAGAAATTTAATTCATAATATAAATGTTTATCAGATATCAAAAAATCACCTATTAAATTAAATCAAAAATATGATAGTAATTCATTATCAAATGCTTACTGCATTATTAATTAGATGAAATAATTGTAATAACAAATATTATTAAGTGTTATTGACATTCATCCTTCTTATACAAATATGAGTATTTCTTAGGTAACTTTATCAGAAATCAATTGTACTATATGTTAGAATGGTCTAATAAATGTAAATTTCATTGATACTCATTCATTTTTATTAATATAATCATTAAAACTTAAATAAAATAGTTGTGGTAAATCAAGTTGTGTTAATATAATTAAATTGTCTACCTTATAACGTTTGCTTTATAATTTAGTATCATAAGTAAATGAAAAATAATTTGATCTTAAAATAAATGATTATTTATGTAAATACAATTAAGCATATGAAGGTACATGCTTGTAGATTAAAAATATTAAGACTTTGATTTAACAATCTATATTTGAACATAATTATGCAAATACTTCTGGAGGATCAATTAAAGTTATTGGTAATGAAATATTCTATCTTGTTCAAAGTCTCATCTATAACAATACTGCAAAATATGGAGGAGGATTAGAAATAGAAGATTAAATGAGTTAAAATATGACTAGATTTGGATCTATTGTTGCAAATAATAAAGCTGAATTATTTGGTAATGATTCTTCTTAAGTTCCATCTTAATTATCAATTACTATTAATTTAATAGATATTCTACCTAGATTTACAGTATTGGAATAAGAAAATCTATTAATTTAATAGATTTTAATAAAACCATATCAAGTATTTACTAATGAATATTCAGATGCATTTTATGTACCTAATGGATAACAAATATCTTAATATTAATACTTTGATTGGAATAAAGGTGAATATGTGCCTTATAATTTACATTTTAGAATAGTTGCATTGGATAAATTAAATTCAATTTAATAAGATTTAGAGAGTACTTACTGTAATATTAGTGGAAGATTACTTATGGAAAGTGGAGAGAATGAATTCACTTAGAATTTTACAAATATAAAAAGAATAGAATTCAATAAAAGTGATTATAATTTAGATAATTTAATTATCTATTTAGATGATCAACTTAATAAAACTTTATAATTGTAATTTTAATGTAATTCTATTTATATACCAATTTATGATCAGAATAAAGAAATCGTTAGTTATCACAATAATTATTATTTAAGAATCAATCTTAAAACATTACCTTGTTAAATGGGAGAAATTAAAAGTTTAGTAGATTCTACTTGTGTCCCTTGCAATGTTGAATAAGGTTAATATTCTCTTGGTATTAATTCAAATACATGTCTATACAAGGATGATGCTACTACAAGTGACATTAAATCAGCCTAATTAAAGTTAAAAGCTGGATATTGGAGACCTTATTTTTATACTAATGAAATAAGTGAATGTATCAATTTAATTGAAAATTGTCTTGGAGGATGGAAAGAAGGAGATACCTCATGTTTTGAAGGTCATATTGGAGCATTGTGTGAAGAATGTGATTTATATAATTTAAGAGGTGATGGATAATTTTCAACTAGCACAAAATATTCATGTGGATCATGTACTGAAAAGAATAAAAATTCCATTATTATTACTGCAATTACACTTTGGTATTATTTAATAATAATTATATAGGACATTAATATCCATCTTGATTTCTGTTAAAAGTACTGTAGAACTATTAAAAAGAGTGGCAATTAAAGTTAGAATTGGATAAAATAGAGCATTTTCTCATATGTAAGAGGATTAATCTGGTGTATTAATTAAAATGTTGACAAATCATCTTTAAATTCTATCAACAATTACTACATTTTAAATCAACATGTCAAGTGGAGTTAGTGATGCAATTAAGGCATCAGGTAATCCAATGTAAACTATGGCATTTTCACTTGATTGTTTCCTAATTGATATGTTTGACTTTAACATTCATTATTCAAGAATGGTTTGGTAGATGATCATGCCATTAATTTACATCTTTTTATTTCTATCAATTTATTTAATACAACTCAAAATCAGGAAATAGACATATAATTTGAGTGTAATCACAACTACTTTCATTTACATGTACATATTCTTATAACCTAACTTGGTGGGTGGTTTTATTTAGTTGATATCTTTTAGAACAATCTCTAGTTTTAAATGGATATCTGCCAATGTAGCATTTAGGTATGATACTTGGATGCATTTTAAATGGCTATTGGGATTCTGTTTACCTAGTTTTCTTATAATAGCTTTTATGATCCCAGCCATTTTCTACTTTGCTATTTACTTCAATAGGAAGAGATTGGATGATAAATTAGTAAGACAACAATGGGGTTATTTGTATAATGAATATACTCATTAAGCATACTTTTGGGAGATTGTTAAAATCTTAGAAAAAGAATTACTCATTATATTCTTATCATATTATGATGAATATATAGTTAAGAAAGGCATACTTGTTTTATTTGTTATTTATGTTTATCAAGAATTAAATATCAAATTTAAACCATATTCATCTCCTAATTTAAATAAATTAGATTCTTATTCAGCCAATGTTTGCTCTATCTCAATTGCTTTAGGAATTGGAATCTATATAGATTAGTAAATTGGATCTCTAGAAATTTAAATACCTTATTTCATACTCCTTGCTTCATTTAATATTTATTATTTATTCCTTTTATTGAAGGAATTATTAAAAGCCTATGGAAAAGAATTGGAATTGTAATTAGATAAAGCTAGAGATCTTATCAGATTAAGAGCTCCTTGGACTACAAATTATAAATTTCTAAATAGATTGCTTGCAAATCGTTAATAACAGAGAACTAAAGTAATTGAAAGATTTAAGAAAATTAAAGTAAACTTAATGAAGTAGGTTAAAAATATTATACAATTTAAAGAAACAATTAAAAAATAATAGGACTCTGGTGTTGTAAGCCTGAAGGAACTAGATAACTTCTATAATGTCTTTATGTAATACAAAACTGCAAATTCCTTATAAAATTTGTAATTTTAATTAATTTATAGAAAAGAAAAGATGAAAAACTTTTAAATGAAGATCGCCCAGGTTCAAAGGGATAAGAGAATTATGAAACTAAAGTATATCCGTTGATTTTAGACTAAAATTGATTAATCTGTAGATCAAATTTATGATTATAATAATTAAATAAATATATTTCTAAGTATTTTTAATAATATCCTTATAATATATAAAGAATCATTATCGTTATTTTTAAATTGATCAAAAATTAATTAAATTTAGATTCAACATCTTTTTTTTCTTATAAATAACATTAAAAAAATTAGATAAATCAATTTTACATAACATTCCTTTTTTATATCAATTTAATATAGTTATCAATTTTTAATTTCCTCTATTAATAATAGATTGAGTCAAAAAGATAATATTATACTGAAATTACATAAGTTGGAAAATTTATTAAAGAAAAATAAAAAAAAATTACAAATTCAAAATTGGTCTAAGCCCAATACCAAAAGGCTTGATGTGACATTTGGATCAATTTGATTTTCAAGAAGTTCTTCTATACTTTCTATTGGTTCTTCATATTGGATAAGAACCAATGTTTAAAACCCTTTATATTAGTGTTTTAGTGATATTTTATTGGGAAGTTTATTACATCTATTACCTAAAATAAATATAATTATGAATGTTACATGTGCTTCTGAATGAAAAATTAAGATTTTTACAAATTCCACAAACCCAATCACCTCTTCTTTGTTTCCTTTTCACAATGTAGGGAGAATTATTCATGTAAATTTTATTATTATTATTATTTAAATTCAAAATTTAATAACGATATATATATGAATTTTAGAATTTATTAATTTATAATATGATAACAAAGTCTTGAAGGATTCTGAGTTTGGTAAGTTTCAATTATTTTAATGAAATTGAGTATAATGTAATACTAGATACTTTGTTTTTTCAATTCTATTATTAATATATATATATATAATGAATTAATAATCAAGACAAAATAATTGGGAGTTATAATTGGATGGTCAAGTGAGCAATTAAGATGCACTGATCAATTTGTAAATAGCTTACAATTGGTTAACATCAGTAAATAAAGATATAATTAGGCTTTATTTATAGTAATATTGTTTAATTCATTTCTTTCTTTGTTTATGGCATCATTTACTTTTGGTTTGAGTTTCAGAATTCCTTTACTCTTCTTAAGCATTGTGCATTTAATTTATTTGATTAAAATATGCATAGTTCATCATTAAACGTAAAACATTGAGTAAAAAAAGAAGGGCTAAAACTGATTTTGATTGCTGTTTTGATTTAACTTGGAATATTGGTCTAATATCTTATTATGTAATCAATAAATATAATAGTAGAGTTGTTTGATATACTTTATTGAATATTAGACCTTTTAAATACAATATTTAGGAATGTTATTATGTATTTACAATGCTATTTGGATGTTTTACAGTGGAGTACAATTGCATTAAAGAAAATCTGATAAATACTAATATCAATTGGTATGAAACAGGAATTTATATAGGTGAGTGTGTTCGTAAAGTTGTGTTTTATAATATAGATAACTCTAATAAATCTAAAACGAATTGATTGGTTATCTATTAATTGGTTATATGCCTTTATAATAATATGGTTATTTTTGTTAATAACTATATTTTTGGAAATAATATCTTTATATAGATTATCTGTTTAAACTAATAAATACTTTACTAGTAGTAATCTTGAAATAAAGATGCAATTTGGAAATAATATAATTGGTCAATTTTGGATTTGTATGTTTTTCTTTTGTTTTGCAGGAGTACCAAGTTACACAATGGTTAATTTGTGTATTTATTTGGACAATGATTTAGGACAATAAGATTATTTACTAGCAATAATTCTAAGTGTGTCTTATACAGTAATGTATTTTGTGTACACAATATATAACAAAGAAGTATTGATATTATTCATTTTGAATCTAAATTATTTTGCTCAATTTAATGAAGATCCTAATTAGGATAGACATGTACTTAGTTTCTCATCTTCAAGAAGTTAACAAAAATATGTATACTCATTAAAAGAAAATTCACAAAAGAATAATCTTTTATAATATCCAACTTAAATGGTAAAGATTTCAAGCACTTATTATTTACCTGATGAATTTGTTATAAGAAGACATCAAACTGAAGTCAATATTATTTCAAATAAATAAGCTACAATCACTGAAGTAGCTGTTTCAGAACCTACAATAAAACAATGTTTTAATTGTATCCAAAGATAAGGTAGTGTAGTCTATATGCCATGTGGTCATGGGGGAATGTGTACAGAATGTGCTATTTTATGGTTTGAATAAAACAAAGAGTGTCCCATTTGCAGGAGTGTAATTATTATTATTATTATTATGAATTAGTTAATCAAGGCTATACTTCAGATAGTGTAGATTGATGAACAGACTGTTAAAGTAGTGGGAATAATTGCTTAAAACTGAAATATTATAAACTTATTTGTTACTTATTAATTAAATTTTATGAAATAACCCATCTTAAATAAAGGATCAAAACCTGAAAAAAATCCAACTTCTTATAATAATGATGGATTTGGAAGGGATACATATATCTCTTACAATAATGGTGGCAACTTTGGAACTGAATTCAGATTTCTAACTGTCCATTAAAACAGAACCGGAATGAATATGATGCCAAGTCCTGCTTCTAGAGCTTATGAAGTACCTTAACGATTATTCTATTAATGTGATGGAACTGGAAGAGATACATATGTGTTGTATGAATGATTTCTTGTATATAGATTAAATGTGTAAGAGAAGTACTCTCCTATGCAAAATTATAAGAGAATGCTTCGAAGTTCTGATCAATTCTTCTCCAGTCCAAAATACAGATATGAATTACCACCACTTGCTAGAGAAAAGTTTAAGAGAACTTAATAATCTCAAAGGAGTCTCATTAGTCGATTATCATAACCAAAGCTGAAACAAAGTTGTTGAATTTTATTTAATTTGATAACTATTTGATTGAATAATATCCTTCTTTTGATGTTTATTAATGGTTCCATTCTCTATTCTAATAATGATCATCAAAATCAATTGAATTTAACTTCTATTTAATTAGCTTTTAAGTTTAACAGGCTACAATAATATTGATTATGATTATATTAGATTGTTTAATTTAATTGCTAAAAGAATGATGCATTAAATAAATTATTGAGACACAATTAAATAATAATAGAAAGACATGACTGACTTTTTGTAAATGAAAAAACCTTTTTTATAAATTTGTATATTTACTTGAATAAGTTAAGAATTATTAAATCTCATTTCTTGATAGTATAATTCAACAAAATATCTTAACTTTTAAAGTTTAAATTCTATTCTCTTTGAAATAGAAATGATTTAAATTAAATAATTAAATAACTGATTATTTTTGTATATAAATTATTAAGTGGTTAAGTGCTAATACGATGCTGAAATAGATTTTTTATAGAAATTAAGAAACTTAATAAGATAAAAAAACTATTTAAGTATATAAACGTTGCAGTTGTCAAATATTCTTGATTAAGGTAATTTATAAATATAATGAAATAAAAAATTGATCGTTCACGTATTCCTAATTCATCTTAAGATATCCTTATTGTCCCTGTCTATGCTGATAAATTAGGCTTTTCTTTACCTGCAAAATTACCATATATGCCAGTATCTGAAGATTCAATTGCTGAAACTGTATTCTAAGCTAATCGCATTTGTTAAAAAATTAGATGTGAAAAAAGTAGAATTGAAGAAAGTGACCCTTTAGAAACTGAAAAATTTTATGGTATTTCAATATGATCTATGTCAGTTACATCTTCATGGGTTTTATTTATTGTTGGAGTCATATTGTTTGTATTGGGTTTTTCATATGAAGATTTTAAATCAACATTGACATTGCTTGGCACTATATTCATTGTTTTACCTACATTAATATCAATTATTGTAGTTATCATTAGTATAACAAAATCACCTAAATTAATTGATCTTGAATAGGAATGCACAAAGAAATTGGGAGAGTTCTTTGAAGTTCAAAATCAATAATATAGAAAGAAAGGATTGTAATGGTCAATAGGAGATGAAATGTTGTGGATTTAGTTGGAAAAAATATGACTATTAAATTATTAATTTATATAACAAATAATGCAATAAATAAAAAGGAATATTCAATTAAATTAATAATATACAGAAGCAGAAAGGTATGATTAGAACTTGAAATCAATCAGCAGAAATACATGGTGGCATGAATCAAAATCTAAATATGATAAAGTTAATGAATTAAAATTCATGAATAAAGTGTAACGTGCAATCTGTTAATATGTGTAGCTATTCTAAAGAAGTAGAAAATGCTTATTAAGAATTGAAGAAAAGAAGAAATTGTATGCTCAAAGATCTTTATGAAAAAGAAGCACGTGAATGGGAATAAGAATTAAGAGCCAAAGGATTAGCTATTTACAAAAACAAATTATGAATTATCAAAATATATATATATAAATTTATATTTATTATGATGAAATATATTTCGTTAATAAATCTTATTAATTTACCTATTCATTAATTAAATCATAAATATCATATTATTCTCTAGACTAATTTCTAAAACACATATTATTTCTGTCCTTTTAATTTTCTTAAAAGGTATAAATCAAAGAAATCTCAAAAATTAATTATAATTCTTAAGATCTATTGTAAAAATAATAATGGCTTTGCAAATGATATGTTTTAAATTAAAGAAAATTATTTCAATTCTTAGAAAAAGAATAATATAATAATTTATTAATTCTCATTTTTTAAATTGAGATTTTAATGGATATTATAACTGATAATTAATAATCAAGTAGCTAAAAATTAAATTTTATTTAAATCCTAAAGAATATAAAATGAAGGAAAATATTAAATATTCTCGAACCTATTAAAAGATATCTGATGAATAGAAAAAAAAACTATTGTAATTAGTTTGCCATCTAGGCTTTAAGATAAAGGCCGTATTTTTATATAAAAATTCTCTATAGGCAGCCAAAAAATTGAATATCAAATATGCAGCTGCCAAAACTTATATAATTTACTACAGGAACAATGTTATGAGGTCCAAAAATTAAATCAATTCAAAATCAGAATGTTAGATTGTACCACTTTCATCATAAAAGTGCAAACTAAATATTATATCAAAATTAGGAGGAGATGTAGTTAGACAAATCTACTTTGAATATCCCACAATCACTTAAGAATGATTTTATTTCTAAGTTATTTTATATATGTACAATTTCTAATATCAACCAACTAAGTATTTACATTATACATTTCAAAATAATGAGTTTAAATTTGATAGGTTGTCTATTTTATATATTGCATGTCTCAATTCCAATTTTAATTAGTCAAACCAAAGAAAATTACCTTCAATTTAAATCAATTCAGAAAATTCCTCTGCTTTGCATAATAACCAATTTTCTTAATTCTAGAGTCTTTTTTCAAAGAAATGATTCAAAATTCATTAAGTTGTAATAAATAAAGGACACAATATATTCTAAGCATAAAAGCAAGAAAATATTCAATTATTGATACTAAACAGTAATAATATCTATTATTTGATATTAATTCTCTTTAAACCCAAGAGAAACATATATATTAATTTATAATTTTAGAAAATATAAGATAGGGCTTATCTGAGAGATAATGAGAAAAACAAAAATTATTAATCATTTTCATTTATAAATTAATATATGAATATAAATTAATCATTATTAAATGTTACAATTAAAAGTTTATAAAATAAAAAATAAATTATTAAAGAAATTTCACATTCATAATTTATGTCTCTCAAATTTAAATTCCATCATACCAAGTTAATTGGATGATAAAACAGATTGTATTATCTTTAAGGTAGAGTAAAAATTTTATTCTTAATAAAAATTAATTATTAATAAATCAATAATTAATACAAACTTCACTTAAATTTATTAGAAATAAATAAATAAAATAAAGCTAATCTTATGAAAATTATTCATAAAAATAATCTGGATGTCCTTTTATTGATTTAATTTAGAGATTCTTAATGATTAAATAGAAAAATATCTGAATATTTCAAGCTGAAATATTTAAATTTATCAGAGGAATCTTATACAATATAGGGTTAAGAGTATGATAATTAAAGTATAATAAATAATTAAAAAATAAAAAAAAATATCATAAAGGTATTCTTTAGTTAAAGACATCTAAGTAATCCGTGGTGTATATATATTTACAATTAATTTAATACATTCAATTCAGAAATTGAATAATTTACAAATAGTTCTTAACATAGTTTTAGTTTTGGTTTATTTTAGATATTTATTATTCAAAAATCAGAATACAAGAGTTTACATATTTTTACAGAGTTTATTTATAAAATTAATTTTTATATATAAAAATTACTGAAAATAATTAAAAAATTATATAGTTAATAAATTATAGTTTGTATGTTTTGATCATGACAATTTTATATATAGCCCTCAATTTGGTAAATTTTAACAGATTTTGTAAAAATAGAGTGGCAATTTCATATATAACATTTTATTTATAATGAATCAATGTTCTTTGGAAGATTCAATTCTTCTATTTAGGTATAACCTGAGATATTCAAATATTGAAATATCTAAAGTGGGATTTAATATTTAATGAAATAATATTTTATTGCTTGCAGACCATATGAAAAAGTACCCGCATCTTTAAGAAACTCTCTCATACAATTGGTATTTATAAAGGGTTTTAAAATAAAACATGTAATATATTCATTCAAAAATCTTAAAGGCAGCCAAAAGACTCAATATCAAGTATCCAGCAGCCAAATCGATCATTATTTATCACAGAAAAAATGTCATCAAATAGAAAGTCAACATCACATAATAAAATTAATGCCAAATAGTTCCCATAATTTAGTCCAAAAGCTCAATAACAATAATATCAAGTGTTGGAGGAAGCCAAATCACTTCGAAAATACTGTTTTAATATGAAATTCGAAATGATTCCTAATATATTTTAACATCTATACCTTAATGAAATTGTTAACTATATATTTTTTTTTGTTTGTAGTCTGTAATTTTTTAAACTCAATTACAGGCTGATTTAGTATTATTACTTATCCCTTTTGTAAATTGACAAACATAGGGTAAATTTTAAATATAGAAATTACATTCCATTAAAATTTTTTTGATAACAAATCACTTAATGAGATCAGAATAATTCGATAATAACAAAGAATAAATATGAGTAATTGACTTTAATTCAGAATATTTCTTAATACTTGTAAAGTATTCATTTAAGACATATTTTCCCTTCATTACGCTCATTAATTGAAAAATCATAAAATTATAGTATGTAGTATAATCTTTTAATTAATAATAAAAAGAATGAAACATCACTTTATAAGACCTTCAAAATTAGAGATAATGAGAAAAAATAATTGAAATAGTAAATTTCTGTAAAAGCTCATTTGGAATAGATTTAGAATAATTTTACTCCTAATAATAATAGAGATCACTTTTTAGCCAAAATTAAATTAGGTAAGAAAATATATTAATTTTTTATATATAATAATTATAATCAGTTATTGAATTATTTGTTCAAATATTACTATTAAATTAATTTCTGTTAATTAAATACTGAAAATGTGTTTTAAATTTATTAAAAGACTTAAAGATAGAACTAAAATTTAGAAATAAATGACAAATTCAAATTAATCATAATAATTATGAGATATTTTTATAATTAATGAAAATAAGTTGTATTAAATAAATAAAATAGAAATGTGATAAATCTTTAAGATTCTCTTTAATTATATTCAATATACTTAAAAGATAAGAAAATTATATATAAAATTCATCTCTTAGAATTTTTAGTTGTGGTTTCAAAGGGGTTTAATTTATAAGCCTATTTCTTTTTATTTTTATTTAATGTTGCTGCTGTAATTTCAGTAACATTTCTTTTATGTTTTGATTCTTTGATTTCTTTAATTTCAGATATTTCTTTTTTTTCTATTTATACTTCTTAAGATTATTGTTTTTAATGACGAGATGATTTTCTCTTATTATTTCGAGATTACACAATCTCTTCATAACTTCTTAAATCAAATACTAATTTATGATTTTATTAATCATCAACTTATTCAGGCTATAAATGAACTTCAATCTTAGTTTATTATTGATTTTCATTTAATTTTTAGATATCAATTTCTTTTTCTATATTTTTAATTTTAACTTTGGATTATATACCATATAAACATTCTTATTTCTTATCAAAATATTTTTAAAAAATAGGTTTTGTTTATCCAGTTAATCGTTTAAGAACTTAAATTCCAATATCTTTTAATTATTATTAATTATCAAATGCATCAAATAATTTCTTTCTTATAGTATAAAAATATTATATTAAATCCATTATTTATTAAATTTAAAACAATATTTTTACTTTATTTCTATTCTTTAATCTTTCAAATTTACCTTAATTAACAGTATTATCAATAGGTGCTGCTACTTACCAATTAAATATTTAATAAATATCTAAAATGAAATCATCAATTTAAGATTAAGTTTCATTAAATTTTTTAAGATCCTTCATCATTGCATATAAGCTTATCAAAATGATATAAGATCTTAATTTATAAATTTATTTAAATGGAAATTGTAAATATCTATCATGAATTTCTATTAATCTCTAAACATTTAAAATTTAATCTTTTGTTTAAGTAGATTCTATTGTTATTAAAACTAACTTATCCTTCATATAAGCATATAATTCATCCTTTTTCATTTTTGATGCTTGTTTTAATAATTCTTCTATTTAATGAATGGCTTTATCATTCTCACCTATCCTAATCAAACCTTAAACTTATAAGATATATTTGCTATATTTTTTAAAGAGAATAGATGCATGATATTTAGTAGGTTAACAAAAGAATTAATTTTAAAATGATGAACCCAATACTTCATTTAGACTTTAAAATTAATTCAAATCCAATTATCCTCTTAATTATTATTTACTTTTAATTTTATGAAAGGCTCTTTTTACTTATTCAATAATATTCATTTTTTTTGCTTAATAATGTGATTAGATGATAAAATTATTGAGTTTTGCATTAGATAAAGTTCTATTTGATCTTTCTATAAATCTTAAAGCACTTAAATAGGATCCACAAAATTGAAATATACATCCAATAATAAATTATAATTTAGCAATACATTTTCTTCTAAATTATTTACCTAATTTGTATTATTTATTCATTTCAGATGAATATTTCATTGCAATTTTCATGACAGCACCAACATCATCTTGCAATACATAAATATTGAGTTGATATAAAACTAATGCAATAACTTCATCTGCAAATATACCATATGATCTCATCATTAATTTCTATGCTCTTCTCAAACTTTTCAAAGCATTATCTTAATCATGAGAATCAAAATAACTCATTCCAAGTAGAAATTCTACTTTAGCCAAATTACTTGTAGATAGATTTTCAAATTTTCTTTCTTTTAAATATTATGGAATTTCTTATTAAATACATTATTAATCAGCTTCCTTTTTTTATTTCTATTATTAAATATATTCATCTTATGGAGTTTATTATATAATAGATTCTGGAAAGTATTAATTGTAAATGGTTAAACTCATTTCTAAATTAAGCATAGCAGAAATAGGTTAAGAACTCAATCTAGCAATCTCTCCACTTATCATTAATGAATATCCATATAATAGAGAAGCAGTATGAAAATTCTTCAATTGAAAACCTACTACTTTTTAGATTTTTGTAATTGCCTCAAAATAATGATTAGAATTTAAATAGGATTGAGCATACATTGTTTATACCATGACATACTTCTTTTATTCAATTAATCCTTTGGCTGAATTTTTGCCTCTTAATCTATTATTCAATTTCTATTTCAATTCAAGTTATCTTGTCATACATCTTTATAATTAATTCAATATAACTAAAGGTTTTCTTTGAGATATTGATAAAATTTGAAATAAGATAGAAATATGAAAGTTATCATAACTATCTTCATTAATACTATTCACTATAAGTATTGCTTTTTCTATACATTATGATAATTCTTAAGATTTGACTTCCCATGAATCATCTTTCATTGTCTTGATTGTACTAAAAGCATTTAAAATAATAATCTATGCTTATTGTAATTTAGATAGACTTTAAAAATTTAATGTATTATTTAATTGATAATAGTATTATTCATTTTGATAAAAGAGAGATTGATAGAGTATATCTTTATAGATAGATTCATTTTCACTTAATTTATCTTTATTCTTTGCTAAATTATGGTATAAATTTTAAAAATCTATTTCAAAAGATAATAAATAATTATCATTAGTATTTTCTTCATTAGATATATCAGATTAACTTAAATTAATTTCATTTAAATTGATAACTTCAACTTATTCATTTTTCTTTTGACTTTCATTTTAATTTTATTATTATTTATTATCATCATCATTTTAAGTTTCCAATTTATATTCATAAGTAGATATTTACTTTTATAAAGATTCAATAATTGATTAAAGATTTTGTAAGATAGTTTCTGCTGAATCAACTTTAGTTGTAAATAGAACCATTTTAACAAATTCAAATAAATACTTATCAGAATTATGACTAAAACGTTCCTCAGCCATATGAAGATAATTATCATTTTGTTCTTAATCATCCTTATCATTTCCTCCATCCATCATTTTTATGAACTTTTTTCTCTAAGCTTATATAGATCTTAATGTTGTTTATCCAATTCTCTTAAAGTAGAGTATTAAATCACAAAGTGCAAATAAATCTCTTTTCAACGCCTTTCTATAAGCTGTAATCTTTTTCTCTTCTACACTCTTCAATAACATTTCTTGATTATGATGAAAGGGAAGCATACTCTTTAATCTTCCAAAAGATTCTAATTTAAACCCTTTACTCTTTGCACAATAAAAGACAGTAGAAAGTGTAAAATTAAGTCTAAAAATATACTTTGAATAACAATTATATAATATCTAAAGTAAATTTAGAGTTAATTTCTTATGCAAATGAGGTGATAATTCTTTATTATCCTTAGTTAATGCTACTTGCAAATCTTTTAATGAATAATCTAATTTATCATAAAATAATGCAATTCTATAAATATTTGGAGCATCAAATTAAGGAGGTCTATCAAAAAGAAATGTAGTATTCTGTATGAATACTAAATATTAATTAAGTTCTGGGAATTGTTATTGTACAAGTATATGGAATAAAAGACATTAGAATCTTTCTTATTCTTCAATATCTACAATTGTTATAACTTCTAACATTTCTTATTATCTTGAATCAAAGAATTCCACCTTATTCTTAACTGGAGATGGAGATTCCTTTTCTGCAAATATAGTTTATTTTCTACGTACTCTTTTTTCTACTTATTTTATTCTAACTATTCTTTCTACTGGCATGAGTTTTTCAAATGCATTAAAATTGTTAATACTTTCTTTATCTGCATTAAAATAATTATCATTAGAGAAGAAAGTTGAGAACCTTGAGTACTAGTTTGCATCACTAAATTTTTCAGGTATAATATCATAATAATGAAATTCACTTGAAGTTATTAAGATCCCATTCATTTTTACTTCACCAATATAATCCTTATAATCTACTCTCATCATCAAAGAATAATAATGACTAACTTAATTTTTTATTAATTCTACTATTATTGCCTTTACATGTACTACATGTTCATATTTTTTGAAATAATTGATATCGTCTTTGGTAGGTTTTGACTTAGTCTTCTTAACTGGTTTTTCTGGTTATTTTTCTTCTTCTTAAATGATCTAAACCATTGCATCATCTTATCTCTCTTAATTTGTGTACATAGTAGTTTAAACAACATGAATTGATCTCTTAGTTGAGTAGTCTTTATTTCCTTAATTGAATTGTATTTCTTCTTCTTCTTCTCTAAGTTTCTATTATTCAATGATAGTTTTTTCTATCTATTATTGTATTCCAGCTTCTCTGTCAGCCTTTTTTGCACAGCAAGCTCCCATATTTACGGTTTTTAAATTTATTTATATATTGAAATATGAAAATAATATGTCCATTTTATAAAGACTTTTAAAAAATCTTCTATTTTTCAGAATCTTATTTTAAATGAAATTCTTATTGTATCTATTAATCAATCATAATCATTTCATTATAAAAGGAAATAAATTACATAAAATATATAAGTTCATTTTCGAGTAATCTTTTGAAATGGATTAATTTTAAGTTTCTATTAATCTTTGTTTCCTTTTTATTTTGAATTTAATATTGGTGATTTCCCAGATAATCTTGACATTTCATTAATTGGTGTCATATTCAACTAAGCCATTGAAGGCATTCCAGTACTGCATTTTGTATTAGTATTATCTTTTATATTATATGAAATGTGTAAATTGCCATTTCTTTCCGTTTCCAAATTATCATCAAAGATCTATGATTTCTATGTTTGTACAACATCAAATTATTAACTAATTTAATTTGATTTCTCAGATATTAATTAAATACTCATATTATCTCTATTTTTTAAATTACTTCTTCTTGTATTTGTTGATCTAATATTATATATATATATAAATACTTTTGAGTTTCTTAATACTCTAATTCAGTTTATGTAATAGATTTATTTTATACTACTGTAGATTTTCTAGGTCTTACACTTTAATGACTCAAAAAACCAAATAGACATGATTATCTAGATTCATTATGACTTTTTTTTTTTATTTATTCTTTTTCTGTAGTTTTGATAATTTACTTTAAATATTTGATAGCTACTGACTTTAATTTGGTTGGATTAGATAAATGTTAAATAAGTTTATATCTGATCTTTTGAAATTTCTCAATTACTTAACTCATCTCTTCTAATTAATATATAATTTATTTGCCAAGTTTCAATTACAAAACTGTAAACTTATTTGTAGTTGATTTATATGGAATATTACTCCAAGAGAGCATTTCATTTATTGATTAAATAAATTAATCTATCAAATTTAATTAATCTTAATATTCTTTCTTTTTCTCCAATTATATCAAACAATGAAATATCAAAATTTAACAACGTAATTATCTTATTTCTTTTTAAGGAAATATGAGGAATCTATCATGAATTTCTATAGCTAATTTTAAATAATTTATAGCTTAAGGATAATTATTATGAGATGCATTATAGATTCCTAATTTTTATAGAGTATATCCATAACATTCATCTACTTTTCTTTTTTTGAGAACATTATGTAATTGATTTAGTTTATCCTATAATTTATCATAATCTTAATGACGAAATAATGAATAAATTTTTATTAAATGATTAAAAATAACTTAATTTACTTAATTTTATTTCTCTTCTATTGCCTATCTAAGAAATTAATTATTAAAATATGGTTTCACAAGTTCAGATAAATATACAGTATGATAATTAAATAATGTTATTTGTCCTTTATTGATTGAATTTATTGAAAGTGCCTTTGTTTTAATAGCAGATATCAATTTCATAATTTTCATTCTAATATGTATCTATAAAATATATGAATTAGTTCTAGATTAATTGAAAGTTTTATTGGCTTTTTAATAATATCTAAGGGAACTCAACATCATTCCATTACATTCAAATATAGCTGCCATAATTAATTGCAAACGAGCAATATATCTTGATTTAAAATATGTATTTTTTCTATATTGTTCTTTGAATTTCTATTAATATTCATAACAAATTTCACCTGCTGCTCCACTATCATCTTATTCTACCAATATTCGTAATATTTCAATTATTACTTCAATGACTTCATCTGATAAAATATCAAATTTCCTTTATCTAGCTTATTTTACTTTCCTTAAACATTTTAAAGCATTCTCTTTATCATGAATTGTAAAATACACTTTACCCAAATGAAAATCTAATACATTCATATTCTCACATGCTTAATTATCATAATTAATAATTTTAGAAGTATATTATTTACCACTTTCCATTTATTCTTTAGTCACTTATCGTTAAGTTTCATCCTCAATATAAACAATCTTAGTATTTGGAAAATATTAATCATACAATAATTTAGATATTTCCAAATTAAGCATTGCTGATACTGATTGTAATGTCTTTTCACATAATAATCCATTTATAAATAATGATTGTGTATATAGCATATAATTTTTTAGATTAAATTTCAATTAAGATGATAAATCATATTACATCAAATAGATTGCTTTATTATAATGATGTTCACTTATATAATGATCAATAAAGAATAAATCTAAAAAGATTGCTTTTCGCATTTCAATAATTCCATTAAATTTTTAATTTCTACTAAGTTTAGGTTTAACCTATCTTTTTCTTTTATAATTTTATTCTTATATCATAGATTTCAAATGATTTATAATATTAAATGGTTTATCTCTCATTTTTGTTATCAACTCTAACAATAGATAATAATGAAATGAATCTTAAGATAGAGTCAGTTATGTCACATTCTTTGATATGGAAAGTAATGATGTCTACTATTCCAAACTAAACCCTTCTTTAACAACTGAACTTAATTTTCTCCAAATTGAATAATGTAATTAAGCATATGCTATTAAGATTTAATTTTTAGAAATTTCAAGAAATTAATCACAAATTACATTAAAATTTTGATTATAAAAGAGAGATGAGTATATCATTTAATAATACAAGTACTATTCTTGAGTTAAGTCTTTTTTCTTTTTTCTTTCAAATGGGAAATTAAATGACTACAATTCAATAGGTTCTTATTCATCATCATCATCATCTAATTTTACTTAAATTACATTTTGGGATACTTACTATTATTATTCTTACATTTCTAATTCTCTTTATTATTTCTCTTATTCAATTTTTGCTATTTCTGATTTTATCAATTTCTCCAAAGTCATCATAATTGATTTTATTTCTTCAAGTATTTAATCATATGAATTTGTATCAAAGAATTTTAATCTAACCAAACCCTAAAATAATGAATCAATATTATCTTAAAATAATTCATCATACATTATTATATATTTACTATAATAAGTTTCTCCTTCAGGTAAATTCTTTTTCTTTCTTCTTAATTTTTTAATTTATACCATCTCCTTACTTAAATCTTTAAAGTATGCAATAATATCTAATACAGCAGCAAAGTCTCTATCAAAATCTCTATAAAAGACATTAATTTTTTATTCATTTGCAGTTTTAAATTTTGCTTAAAAATCTTTACCATCCAAATCTAATAAATTCTATATTCTTCCAAATGTTTATAATTTAAATTTCTTTACTTTGCTAACCCAAAATACTGTATTTAATGTTATATTCAATCTATATAGATATGATTTATATGAATTATACAATATTTACAATAAATTTAAAGAGAGTTAAAGATGACAGATATGAGATAATTACATTTTTTTAGAATGTAGATATTCACTCAATTCTAACAAACTATAATCAAAATGTTCATAAAAAATAAGGATTCTATGAACTTCCTATTTATCAAGAGATGGTTTCTCATTAAATAAAAAGTAAACATCATTAATGGTGATCAAATATTTAGTTATTTTATGACTGTATTATTGAATCATAAGAGCTACTAATATTTGATTTAAACGAGGTGAACATTCAAAATCAAATACATGTATCAATTCCATCATTTCAGCTGCTTCTCTTTTCTTTTTTCTTTTTTATTTTTATGGAACTCCATTTACAATTTAAGTATTCATTATTTTACTTTGTCTCTTAGTAAAAAGTTATGGACTATCTTCATCTTTTTTCTCTGATTAAGTATTCCTTTTCACTTCTAATAATTGATTAAAAGATTATAAATTTGAGTTTAACTATAGGTCCACATTGAAATATGTATCTAAAAGAAAGAAGGGTTGAAATTAACTGTTGCTTATAGCATCTTCAAATTTTATTGGACTTAATGTAAAAGGTTATTTGGGTTCACAAAGAATAAGTGCTTTACAGTTAACACTATACTGATAATCTTAGTATGAAAATGTTATTGTCAACTCATAAGATGTTGTTATGTCTTCTTCCTTTGATAAAAGAATATATGCTTGTATTTTTAGATCTGAATACTCTAAGATTTTCAGATAATTGTCATCTCTTTTTTAGACCGGTTTTTTCTTACCTGTCTTTTTTTTTTATTTCTCACCTTCCTCATCATCAGATCGACTTATAGCCTTTTTAGAACTACTATTCAAATATTAAAGGTCAGGTTTTTAACTTTATTCTTGATTGGAATCTTCTTAATCCTCATTCAATCCCTTATTATATTCAACTTAATTAAGAATCTCATCTTCTTGAACTGCCAATTTAATCTAATTTTCAATTAAGGCTTCATGTCCCTTTTTTGCTTTACTACAGGTTATTCCCATCAAACAATATTTATAAGTGACCTAAACTTTAATTTTATTATATCATTTATAAAGAACAATCATTTTTAAAACAATGTTGTTAATATATATATATATTATTATTATTAGACTATGAACAAGTAATCAATTATTATATATATACAATCATTCAAATCTCATTAACTACCTAAATTTCATTTTCATTTTATTTTCATCATAAAAATATCTGCAATTTTTATTAAACTACAATTTGTACTCAAATTCCATAAATGAAGAAACAAAATATCCACAAGAATAATTATCTTTCTATTAAATATAATTCATTAAATAACATTTTCTAATATCCAAATTTAAAAATCTTCCAATAGCCTTACTTAAATAACCTGGTGTTGCCCTTTTCTTTTTTGTAGATTTCAAAGAATCAAACAACAATATTTCCTCTTTCCTTAAATCAAATAACAAAAAAACCCAATGCATATTATTAATGTTAACAGGGAAACCAATCTTTGTATAAATCTACTTCATCTCATAATTTAATTCTTTATAAAATAATAATTCAGTTTATAATAATCCCTCAGCTTTTTTCATATATGTTGTCTCATCCTCATATAATCCAAATGAAGATGTAACATAACTAGGTATAAATAAGATTCTAGGTATTTTCATTCTCTCCTCCAACTATAACATATTAACTTTTATTTCACTCTTCTAATTTAAATATTCAACAAAAGAATCAATCAAACTAGATGTTAACCATTCCTTTGAATTATTTCTTAATATATTGACATCTCTATCACTTAATGATTAATTGTATAGTATTCGGTTACCTTAATACATTTCTCTTAGTTTTTCATTATCATTCTCCAATGATTTACTTCTTATTATCTAATTATTCTAATCCATTATAATAATAATCTTTGCTCTTGATTAACTATTCTCTTATAAATTAAATGATTTAGATTTCTATTTACTTTCTATTTCTTATAATTCACCTTAAATGAACACCCCTTAAATCTTAATAATTTCTGATTTACCACAATACTCTATCCCTTCTCCATCTAAGAGATACTCTTCTTTTTTAATATTTATTCTAAAAATCCCTTCCTAAATTAAAAATTTTGGATTTTTATTAAAATCAAATAATTTTTTGTAACATTTACCTTTAATTCTCTCTACAGATTCATGTTTTATATATGAATTACTTTAACAATAAAACCTTATATGAGTCTATAAAATCAGTCTATCAAATTAATGATGTTTAGTATTTATTTCTATAAATTACATTTTATTTTGTATTAAGATGTTATCAATAATACTTTTCATTCCATTTATAAGTAATGTTACATTATTCTTTTATTTCTTTTCTACTTTCTCTTAATTATTTTATACAAAATAACCAATAGGTAATTAAAGAAATTATTAACCTCTATACATTCTATAGTATCTCAAATATATTATAATAAAATATATAAATCATCTCAAACTAATTACTTATGTTTAATATTTATAAAACAATAAACCTAATTTATCTAAATGTTAATTAATATGAATTGAAATATTTAAATTATCTCACAATTCAAATTTATTTTCAGAATATATGTGTACACTCTATCCTTCTAAATTTTGGTCAATGATTAAATGATGTACCTTTTTAATTCCTATTGAACTTATTCTACATAATAATATTAATAATAAATGTTTATCATTACATTAATTACGTCAGCGTTCGGTTTGAGATTCCAATCTTAAACTTTTTATGATTTCGTTAACTCTCAACAGTCTACATGGGTTTCAGGACATAATGAAAGATGGGAATAATTCAATGAAGCCACATTAAAAACTTAGATGGGAGCATTCTTAGATGAACCAGATTTTATGAAATTACCAGAGTCAACTGTGTAATTTGAGAATTTAGAAATACCAGAAAATTTTGATTCCAGAGAATAATGGCCAGGCTGTGAATCCATAAAAGAAATTAGAGATTAATCAACATGTGGTTCATGTTGGGCTTTTGGTGCTGCTGAAGCCATGAGTGATAGATTATGTATTCAAACTGGATAACAAATCAGAATATCAACTGAAGATTTATTAACTTGCTGTGGAATTACATGCGGAATGGGATGTAATGGTGGATTCCCAAGTGGTGCTTGGAACTACTTTAAGAATAAGGGACTTGTCACAGGTGATCTTTATGGTGATAATTCCTGGTGTAGACCATATACTTTCCCTCCATGTGATCATCATGTTGATGATGGAAAGTATGGACCATGTGGAGAATCATAACCAACACCTGCTTGTGTTAAATCATGCACTGCTCAATCTGGAAGAAACTATGAATCAGATAAAGTAAGATCTGTTGATGCATATTCTGTTTCATCAAAAATAGAATAAATTTAAAATGAAATCATGACATTTGGTCCAGTCGAAGTATAATATCATTCTCTATTTTAGGCATCATTCACAGTATATGAAGACTTTTTGACATACAAATCTGGAGTATATCAACATGTTGCTGGAGCTAGTTTGGGAGGACATGCTGTCAAAATTATTGGTTGGGGTGTTGAAAAAAATGTTCCATATTGGTTAGTAGTAAACTCTTGGAATGAAGGATGGGGAGAAAAAGGATTATTCAAAATCTTAAGAGGATCTAATCATGTTGGAATTGAAGGTGGAATTTATGCAGGTAGATTAGCTTGACATAATATTCACATATAATTTAAATAAAATAAAAAGTAATCTTTTACAAATTACATTATTATATATATATCCCTTATTAATTATTTAAGTAGTATTTCCTAATTTGAATTTAGTAACACATATATTATTAAATAACTAAAAATACTTATAATTAGTTTTGAATCCTGCAAAACTTAAAATTAAGAATTAATCTAAATTGTTTTAATGATATATTATTTAAAATATTATGTATTTCTATTCTAATTGCAATATTATTTTGTTTAACTTTTTATAGTAAAATTCACAAATAACTTGAATTAATGTAATTATTACTGGTATTTTTAATATTAAGTTTATATTTATTCTTGATATTTTAGAAGAATATATGAAGGATGAATTCTCACATTCTGGAAACTTTGAAGATATTGTATTACCTAAGGAAATATGTTTATAGAGCAAATTTTATAAATCTGTCTAATTATATTTGAAATCAAATAATTTTATGAGAAATAAAATTTAATAAGTTATTAATAACTTATATGGTAATATCATTTATTTAATAAGAAATATTTTTATTATTCTTTAATTAAAAAAACAAAATTATAAGAAACTAGGAAATCTAAAAGGATTCTCAATAATATGAAATACTCTTATAATTATTTAAAAAAATAAATAAATCCAATTAAATAAAAGTAAATAATTTTTTTAGATATAAGTTTTATATAATATTAATATATATAATAGAGTTTCATTTAGATTTTGTATTAAGAATGTTACATATTCTCAAAATAATCAGTTAAATTATATCAGATTATTTAACATTAAAATGTATGATAACTTGAGAGGAATTTGAATAGATTAAATTAAATATATTATAGTTTGGTATAAATAGAAAATGAGAGAATAATAAAATAAAAAAGATTAATATTTATAACTATGTCACGTTCAAATATTCCTAGATAATTGCCACGTAGATTTTGAAATTATTATTTCAGCCTTATAGCAAAAGAGAGTAGGAGAAGGTGAAATGCCTTTTGGAGGATATTAGCAACTATCATAGCCAGCAGAGAAGAAGGTTGATTTTGCAAATTCAAATTTTGAATAACATGATGGAAATGAGGACAATGAAGAAGAGGTAATTGTTTGATTATTGAGGAATAAAGAAATTATAACCTGCACCCAATCATGACAGTGGAATGACATTTAACAACTTTATGAATGATGATTTAATTTATAATTGTTTCTCTTTAGGAGATAGAATAGGAGCAAGAATAAATAGACTGTTACATTGTGATCAACCTAGAATCACCTTCGTCGATAAATTGAATAAGGTGGAATATGATTAAATAGTAAATCCATTTTCATTGAGTGAGAAAGATAAAGCTCAAATTACACCTGATAGAGTATTATATTTAAATGATAATGAAGACAGTAGTTGTGAAGATAATTGGGACATCATAATTATAAATGGATACGAACATTTAACATCCATTTATACGGATGCATGTGATAAATATTAAAAATGGATGTTATTTGTATAAACCAAAAAATGAGGATAATTAACCAAGAGAATTTACAAATGCTGTTTATAATTATGAAAGCAATTGTATTACCAATATAATGGATGGAGAGAGGGAGAGAGTTACATGTGAATTAGAGTTGCTAACAGCTTTTTCTACTAATTTTTGTGATATGCGTATGGCTACCAATAGTAGAGCATAATGGAATGAGGAAATATTAATTAATATGCCAGCAGATGAATTCTATAAATCAGATACAATAATTTTATTTGAACTATTGGATTTTCATCCCATTTATTTATAATAGCGTAATAGTGAATTTTTGGATTCAGATAACTTTTATAGAATTGCATGGGGATATGCAAGACCAAATGGATTATGTAAATTACATTTGGGAATAAGTAAAATATAATTATATAAGTATTTGTTTGATACAAATAAATTAAAATCAGTTAGCAGAAGAGAATCAATTCCTTTAGTATATTTTGATTTTCTTTGGCTTGATAAAGTTGAATATGATGCAGTTTTGAATGTGTATTTGGGTACTGAACCAAAGCCTTAATTTATTGAGATTTATGGTAAGAGTTAAAGCACAAGTGTTTTTGAGATAGAAAGAGGAGATGAAGAAGCAAAAGAGAAGGTGAAACATTCTGTAGTAATGGAGAAAGTAATTGAATAGAGAGTAGAAGAAATTACAGATTAAGAGAAAATCAATTTAAGAAGACGTCGTTATCTTGGAGATAAGGAAGATCATATACCAGAAAAAATAGCTTATAAATTTGCTAGTGCTCCTTTAGGATGTTATAGATTAACCTTTAATAAATATGGTAATTATTTGGCATGTGCATGTACTTATAGAAATTCAAAAACTATTATAAAATTATTTGATGTAGAGAATGGATAACATTTTGCAACATATAAAGGTCATAGGAATATCATTCATGATTTATAATTCTCACAGAATTCTTAATATTTAATAACTGTATCAAGTGATTATACAGCTAAAGTTTGGAGTGTACCTCAACATTCAGGAGATATAATAAATGAAGAAGAATCAGATCTATTATAAATTTGTACTCTTTAACATCCATCTTTTGTTTATGCTGGTTTATTTTTGATGGATAATAAAATGCCAGTAGTGGCAACATGTTGTTTTGATAGCAGAATGCGTATATGGTAATTTGAATCTAATCAACAATTATAAATTATAGACGAACCAATTTAATAAGAAATCATTTCATATGATGGAATATCCTTTGATCAATTTGATAATTTAGGCAATCATAGACATCCTAATTGTATAGTATATGATGGTGCCAAATGTTTATATGTTGGAGATTCATTGGGTAATATTCATTTTTTTGATATTAATCTCTCTGGTGGTAGTTATATTGCTAGAAGATTAAGTTTGATAGTAGTATAAGAAATTATTGGAAATCCAATTAATTCTATAAAATTAATGCCTCCAGAATGTCAAGATCTCTTGATTCATACTAGAGATAATTGCATTCGTATTGTTGATTTTAAATCTGGAGATGGCAAATTTCATGATCATGAAGTTATATATGGTTCTGTTAATAATAGATTCTTTGGATCTTAATCTGTTAAAATTGCTTGTAGAAGTGTTCCAAGTCCAAAGGGAGATTATGTTTTATCAGGTAGTGAAGATGGTAAACCTCATCTATGGAGTAATTTAACATAAACTTTACCTACTGATATATTTTAATTTAATGTTATTGGTCCTGTTGCTGATGTTGTTTGGAACTAAGGATATCATATGATTGCTATAGCTGGCTTTGGAGATGAACATCCAATATTAGTATATGTTTGGGAAAGAGAAGGAGATCTCAATTTTATAGAAGCCAAAAAATTATAAGATGAAATTAAAATGAAAAATAGAGAATAAGAAGACATTATATTTAATATCTAAGCAAAATAAACTCTCAGTCGCTTCTAATAGTCTATTTAAGCCTAAGGTCTCTTTTAACCATAGTTTGCTTAATCATCCTAGATTCCATTTTAATCCTAATCCATATTCAATCAATAACAATTAGGCAATTAATCTAAAGCTAATACATAACCTGGACCTTTTGGATCATAAGGTCCATTTGGTTAACCATAATAATC